TTTAAATATGGTTATAAGTTAAAACAATCGTTGAATCATCTTTATCTGATAGTTTGGACGGTTTATTTTCTCTTTTTTTTCCAGGGTTCTCTCCTGATCTCCCCCCTATCAAGATTACTGATTATTTTTATCTGTTTTGAAATAAATATCTACGTTTTCATTTTTGTTTTTTTCTAAAATAAATGATCACTTTGTAAACTAAGAGCGTGTTTGGTATTGAGACATGATAGGAAGTTATAAGATAGAACATGACAGAACAACTATTCAACGTTTGGTAAAACATAATTGGACAAGAAAAAATAGATAAAAATAACCAATTTTCCCATAATAAGTTGTTTATATATTTTGACTAATTATGTAATTTATTAAATTATAATAAAAGAAATATTTTTTATAACAAAATATATCATTAGAAAGTTTTAGTCAAAACGATTAAAATGACACCAAAATAAAAGGTTATATAGTTTTCAATTTTTATTTTACACATTTTGTATATTATTTTTTAATCATTAATATTTAATAAATTACAAAAATTAATCAAAAATAGAAACAATAATTTTTTTTTTGAGAACAATAAAGTGAAAATTTAAAGAAAATAAGATACAATAAATAAAATGTAAAGAGAAAGACGTATTTAATGTGTTAGAATGAGGTTATAATCTGAGGTTATATTTGTAACACATAAATATGTTCCTCTTTGTTTCGTAGAGTATCTTTCTGTTCATTCCACATTAAAGTCATGCCAAACGTGTAACGATGATATGATGTCTGGTTTGTTCTGTATTTTAAAGTGTACCAAACGCACCCCAAGTGTATTTTCTTATTTTACTCCTAAATCAGTTATACTGAGCAACAACGGTTTACTGTGCTAGACCTGTTAGATAACCATACACTAGCTTATTTTTTTAGCTTATTGAAAAAGCTGGTTTTAGTAACTTTCATAGTTCTTTTTCTACCTTTCTTTTTTAATTCTAATTATACTTTTAAAATGCAATTTTTAGATTATTTCACGTTGTTACTTAACGTATAACGTATCATCTCGTTTTCATTAAACATGACCAGTTCATTAAATAATAACCAACTTTTTAATCAACAAATGACTTATCTTGTAGTTTACCATACACATTCTTAATACCAGTTTATTAAACACTAAAAATAAACTGTTTGTTTATCTCTTAAGAATTTCATTAAGAAGCAAAATCTGAATCACTAAGAGGTGAATTTTGCTTGACAAAAAAAAAAAAATCAGCCTCTTAATGGTTCTAAAGACCTCTGAACGATTTTGTATCTTGTGCCTCCCTTGACCTTTCAACACCCTAATTTCATTCTGAATAATTACCAAATAATTATATTTCATTTTGCACTATATCATAAAACGTTTCTTAATCATCTTGATCACTCAATCATTCTGTACCAAACCATTCAACAAACGTCAAACAGTCCCTAAGAGCATCTAGAACAGAAGCTAAATTTTATGAAAAAATGACATTCAACTTCAACAGATAGTTATTCGAAAGATTTTAACGTGAATTATATTATCATAATATTCTATAAATTTGTCATACAGATACACTTTAAATAAAATAATAATACATTTAAAGTTAAAACAGTTAAAATCATATTTTTATCTGAATAATTTTGAAGATTTTTTGGAATTTAAAAATGCATAACTTCTCATTTATTTATTTATTTTTTGTTTTAGAGAACAATTATTAAATAAAATATTTTTTTTAAAATCTATTTTTCAATAAATGTTTGAGATGCTACAAACAAAAAACACTTTCACCAAGTACAACCATTCATCTACGTGTTAGAATTGGCTAAGGTTGAAATCAATAAGTGTCCATGACTCCATCTTGTCTTCACACACCTTATGTTTTATGATTTTAAGTATATTTTGCAGGTGATATTATCTCTCTCTCTCTCTCTCTCTATATATATAGATAGATAGACTTGGAATCATGTGAGACCAGCCTGTTTTTGTGAGACTCGTGAGACCACCTTTTTACACTTGAAACTTCACAGCAAAATGTTGTGAAGGTGACTTTTTTAACCTTCACAGTGTTTTTGCTGCGAAGGTTCGACTTTTTTTAACCTTTACAGTGTTTTTGTTGTGAAATTTACGTGTAAAAATGTGGTCTCACGGGTCTCACGAAAACATGATGGTCTCACGTGAACCCAACCCTATATATATATAGGGAGAGGAAGTTTATTTTGTAAACCATGTTATTTGTATAAATCGTACAAACCTCATTTAATTAATCATAATTTTTTATTTTGTTCATTTTTTTGTAATTATGAAAGGTTGATTAATTTTTATTATAGAAGGTGTTAATCATAGATATTATCATATTCATTATATTAATTTTAGAGAAATAAATGAAACAAATTCATTAAAAAATCATAAGTATTATATGAAACAATTTTATAACCATATATGAAACAATTTCATGAAAAATTTTCATAACATTAAACAATGAAATCGACGGATGAGAGTGGTTTGCATTTGATCGCTCCTCTCTCTCTCTCTCTATATATATATATATATATATATATATATATATATATGAGCCTAATCCCAAGACATCTGGTTTCTATGCACCAAATCAGTTTCGATTTCTAGTTTTTGTTTAGATCTCATTTCAGATCAGGGACGTAACCTCGATCTTGCCGGAGATGTAACTCTGATATCATCGGAGATGTAACGCATAAGATGTAAGGGTTTTGAATGTAACCTAGATCTCTTTGGAGATGTAACGTCGAGTGTAATACTGGTATCATAGTGGTATTACAGTTGTATTCATCAACCATATATGATATCATAATGTGAATCACAATGCATTTTTGTCGTTATACGAGGTGTATCACAATATATTATTGTTGTTTTACGAAGTGTAACATAATATATCAAGTAATGTTGCTTTACTAAGTGTATCACATTGTGTTTTTTTCGTTATTATGAGATAAACAATTCAATATTTTCTCTATTATTAAAAGTAAAATTGTCATTTAGTTAATTAAAAAAATGTAATAATTAACAGTTTTTTTTTTTTTTACTTTCATCTACTTTATTAGCTAGTTTTTGTCAAATGCAAATTTCAGCTACCTTATCAGTTACCAACTAGTTTATTAGTTAGTTCGAAAGACATAACAGTTGTTCGAAAAACATAACAGTTGTTCGAAAATCTTATGACAGAGTAGTAATAGTTCCCACATATCTCAAATAAATGTTACAACATCTCTATCGGATTATATATCAATTCTCTAAAACATAAACCAAAACAATGAAGTTTCTAAATGAATTTTAATTCAACTCAAATAGATTATCTATTTTAAAGATTTCAATTTAAGGGTCGTTTATCAAACGCTCATTAAGTTACATTACGGTCATTATCTTATCGGATAAATATGGTAAGGATAAAAAATCTTACACCGGTAAGAGCGAAACAATGATCAAGATTCTTAACCGGTAAGTGAGAGCGATGACTCTTACCACGGTAAACGCTTACCGGGTAAATTGTTGTACACGATGTCATTTGGTAAACTAAAATCTTACTCGGTAAATAAATAATAATGTTAAATTTTACCGATAAACATCTATCGGGTAAGTGTTTGGTATACGGTGTCTTAGTTATATTATTATAGATAATTATATATCAATATAAATAATATATATTTAAAGAGATAATTAGAAATAATAAAATTGATGGGAGAGTATAAACTAAAAAAACACTAAAAAAAATGACATCCCAATTAACAAGATGGAGAAAGGAGGGGTTGCTGCAGGGGCGGTGTAGGTGTAGGTGTTGGTGGGAGATAAGTCCCCCTCATTTGCTTATTACATTCCACCTCTCTCCACCTCCATCTTTTTACACATTTCTCCATTAATTCTCTTCACATTTCCATACTCACATCTCTCTCTCTCTCTCTCTCACACACACATACATATATATATATATATACATATATATATATACATATATATATAATTGGGATCACATTTGACCAGTTTATTTTCTTGAGACTTGTGAAATAATTTTTTTACACTTGAAAATTCACAATAAAACGATGTGAAGGTAACCTTTACAGTGTTCTTGTTGTGAGAATTCGATTTTTTTTTATCTTTACAACGTTTTTGTTGTGAAGTTTTAAGTGTAAAAAAGTGGTCTTACGGGTTCCACGAAAACAGATTGTTCTCACGTGAACTCAACTATATATATATATATATATATATATATACACATACATACTTAAGATCACGTGAGACCAACCTGTTTTTTGAAACCCGTGGGACCATATTTTTACACTTAAAACTTCATAGCAAAACGTTATGAAGGTAACATTCACAGTGTTTTTACTATGAATGTTCGACTTTTTTTTACCTTTACAGTGTTCTATTATGAAGTTTCAAGTCTAACGAGTCTCACGAAAACTGACAGGTCACATGTGAAGCCAACCCTATATATATATATATATATATATATATACACACACACATACTTGAGCTCACGTGAGACTAATCTATGTTCATAAGACCCGTAAGACCATTTTTTTACATTTAAACCTTCACAGCAGAACACTGTGAAGGTAACCTTCATAGTGTTTTCTACTGTGAAGGTTCGCTTTTTTACCTTTACAATTTTTTGCTGTAAAGTTTCAAGTGTAAAAAAATGATCTTATAGGTCTCACATGTACCCAACCTCTTTTATATATATATATATATATATATATACATACACACACATCAACCATATACATATATATACCTTAATTTATACACAATATCCTCAGAATTATTTAAGTTTTTGATTCCATATTTGTGTTATCTTCTTCATCAACCACCTTTTCTCACTTCTTAAATCAATATATTCATTCATATATCTCTATATATACACATATTACACCTACACGAGACTTTCATTTCGTATCTCTCTCTCTCTCTCTCTCTCTATATATATATATATATATATATATATAACACCTATAAGGAGTCATACACACATCTTGCTTCTTCTTCCTCCTCCTTCTCTGTTCTTATTGTTCTTCTGAATTCATAAAATACAAGAGATTTGCTTGTTTGTTCTCGAGGTACGTCGTCGTTTCCCGTGCTTATTTTGATTATTTTTTGTTCAAGAATTTTGGAAGTAGTTTTTTCTGGGTTAATGACTTCATCTTCTTCTTTGGGGATTTTTGTTCATGAATGTATGGGAATTTGTCCAAAGAGGTTTTTGTTAGAGGTGTTTCGGATTGCTTATTTAAAACAACTTATCTTTTTTTTATAAAAGTTCTTATCAACTTATTATAAGTTATGATTATTTAACTTTTTCAAAAACTTATTATTACCGGTTTAACATCAGTATAAGCTGTTTATCCAAACACTCAAATATGTTTATTAACGGTGCTACATCGCAATAAGTCAATAAGTTGTTTTTATAAGCAATCCCAAACACCCCCTTAAAATGATGGATCGAAATTGCTAAGATTTAGCAACTTGGGGTAAAACCAATTTTTGTGAATGTAATAGCATTTTCAACAACTATGTTAAAATACAAAATTTAAAGGTTCACGGTTTATTTTTACTCTGACAGCATGTTATACCTAATGCTAAAGTAGATAAAAGTAAAATAAAAGACGGTAAAAATCTTCAAATTTGGAGAAAAATATGTGAAGCTTTATTTTAAGAGAGAATGAATAATATTAATTATTTTTCATCAATAAATTAATTGTATGGGATAAAAAAATAATATTTTATTAAATATGTCGAAATATTTTAATAATATGGTTAATAAAATATAATTGGTTAAATAGAGTAGCTGATGAAGTTAGATGTAATTTTTTTAGAAATTTTAACTTTTGATACTCTATTTCAAAATAATTGCAGTACAACTACTGGAGATGCTACGATACTAATAAACTAGCAATTTTGCAAGTTGGTAAAATTCGATCTGTGAAATGCCCATTATACTTACCTAACTTGCTAAAGTGTTACTTACAATGTCAGTATTTCTCGGAAGTAGCAGTTTAGCAACTGACAGCTTCATTAACATCAACTTCATAGAAAGTAGAATTTGCAAATTACTAGAGTGTTACTTACGAAATCTTGACTATTTTGATCAATTAAATAGAAAAACAGGTATAAAATAAATTAGAGACGGTTACCATGCTGATAGGATGAGTGATGTTTGCTATTGAATCCAATTTCATCCCATCACTCGCCATATCAGCATGGTAACCGGTTAATGATTCAACTGGTTACCCGGATACTTAAATGTCTAAAACTTTACATCTATTTTGATCGATTTCCCAAAAAGTTAGGATTTTGTATTCTTTTATAGCGATACAGTTTTTGAAATTTTTGGGAGAAAGAGAACAATAAACCTTTGCGTGAAAGAAGAGTGAAGTTGAGATTAATTTAACTAGGAATTTTAATGAAACATTCATTAATTTTTACTCAAATTATTCCCTTTTTTAAATCTTATTTATGTTTAATCCACGTTCCTATGATTATTTTAATGCACAAAATCATCTTAATGGTTTGATTTTTGATTACATCCATGATTATGATACTTAGAATCCGGTTTTTCTGCTGTTCATATCTGTATACAAATATGCATACCAACTGTTCGATGATTTGCCTCTGTAGGAATAATCAATAATACACCTTGTTTGAATCGAATTCAAGATTTTTAAGATGCCCGGAATGGTGACCGAGAACCCGACCTCAAATCCCAATAGCGGAGCCCTAACGAATGAAGTGTATGTGCCACACAAAGAGCTTTTCGGCTACTCATCACCGAGAAGCCCTTTGAGCACACATAGTCCCGAAAGTGATTCGATGGATTTAGGTGTCGACAGCCCTGGGGGTGTCGACACCTCCATCGAACAGTTGTATCATAATGTATGCGAGATGCAAAGCTCGGATCAGTCGCCTTCGAGGTTCAGTTACTTGTCGTACGGTCAGGAATCGCGAATCGATTCCGAGCTACGGTTTCTTGCTGGCGGAGATTTCACGAGGATCGATAATGGTGTTACGGAAGAGCCGATGGTTATGGCGGACGAGAAAGAATTCAAAGAATCGTCAGACAATCCTGTTATTGTGAAACCGAATCAGTCTTCAAGTCCAAAAGTTCGAACACCAAGCCCGAAGATTAAACCGCCTTCCGGTAAGAAAATTGGATCGAGGGGAACTCCGAAGAAACACGAAAAAGTTTTGCCGAATGGGAACGAAGATGCAGCGTATGTCGGAACTTATCTACTCAAACAAGCGCGGGATTTGTTGTCATCGGGTGATAACGTGAAGAAGGCTTTCGATTTAGCTCAACGGGCGTTGAAATCATTCGAAAGCTCCCAATCCGAGAAACCGAATTTGGAATTCGTCATGTGTTTGCATATCGTAGCTGCGTTGAACTGTAGTTTAGGGAGGTACAACGAAGCCATTCCGTTGCTCGAGCGTTCGATCGAGATTCCGAGTATGGACGAAGGCCAAAAACATTCGTTGGCCAAATTTGCGGGATGTATGCAGTTAGGTGATGCGTATGCGATGCTTGGAAATATCGAAAATTCGATTCTTTGTTATACGGCGGGTTTGGAAATCCAGAGACAAGTTCTCGGTAAAAAAGATGATCGATTCGGGGAGACCTGCAGGTACGAGTAATAACAAGCTAAGTCGAGTCGAACAACTGGTTGTTTGAGCTCGAATCGAGAAAATAATATCAAATTCTCGAGCTTGAATAACTTTTTAAAAAATGCGGAAAAATCCTAAAAAATTATATGACTTAGGTTTATAGGACTAAATCAAAAAACGTCATATCTAAAAGTGTTACAATAGGTTTATAGGATGCTTCCGGCGTTTAAACTAATTTTTATGACGTTTGTTAAATAAAGTGTCGTTGTAACCTTTTTATACAACACTATTTGGAAAAATGTCCTATAAATACAAGTGCGTCCTATAGAAAGATGAGTTTATATGACATATTTCTTAAAAATGTCATATAAAATAGCTAATATGACACTTTATTATAAAATCGTTCTCAAAAACCTGTTAAAACGCTTAAAAACGTCCTATAAACCTATTGTAACACTTTTAGATTTGATGTTTTATAGTTTGGTCCTATAAACCTAAGTTCTATAAAATATTCTATTAGGACAGTTAGATTTTATAAAATCAATTTTGTTGTAGTGGTTTGAACTCGAGCTTGAATATCTTTCCGGTGTTGGCTCCAATGGCTTGGCTTGGTTCAACTCGAAAAGTTTAATCGAGCTTTCGAACGAGCTGAGTCGAACGCTGGTGAATGGAGCTCGTGTCTTTTAAGTTAAAACGAGATTCACTTTGTGTTCGAGATTGACTCAAGCTCGAGAATTTTAAACTCGGGCTTGAGTTGCTCACTAGAAGCTCGGATCATTAACACCCCTACTTGCAGGTACGTAGCCGAGGCTCATGTTCAGGCAATGCAGTTTGACGAAGCCAAGAGACTTTGTCAATTGGCTCTCGATATACACCGAGAGAATGGTTCAGCGTCTCTAGAAGAAGCTGCAGACCGGCGGCTTATGGGGCTTATTTGCGATTCGATGGGAGATTACGAAACTGCCCTCGAGCATTACGTTTTGGCGAGCATGGCCATGGCGGCAGGTGGACACGAGACTGATGTCGCCGCCATAGACGTGTGCATCGGGGACGCATATCTATCTATGGTCCGTTACGACGAGGCGGTTTTCTCGTATCAGAAAGCGCTTAACTTGTTCAAGTCGACAAAAGGTGAAAACCATCCATCGTGTGCTTCGGTTTTTGTCCGATTGGCAGATCTTTACAACAAGATCGGGAAGTTCCGAGAATCCAAATCTTACTGCGAAAACGCGCTCCGGATTTACGTGAAGCCGGTTCCCGGATTCCCGAAAGAAGAAATCGCTAGCGGTCTTGTTGAAGTTTCATCTATTTACGAGTCCATGAACGAACTCGATCAAGCGCTCAACTTACTCAAGAAGGCACTCAAGGCATACGGCAAGGCGGCGGGCCAATTGAGCACAGTGGCCGGAATCGAGGCTCAGATCGGAGTTTTGTACTACATGATGGGGAGTTATAAGCAATCGTATGATTGCTTGAAAACCGCCATTTCGAAGCTGCGTGCGGTCGGAGAGAAGAAATCGGCTCTTTTCGGCGTGGCGTTGAACCAAATGGGGCTCGCGTGTGTCCAAATTCACTCTATAAACGAGGCTGCCGATCTTTTCGAAGAAGCGAGAGGCATTTTGGAGACGGAATACGGCCCACATCATCCCGATACACTCGGCGTTTATAGCAATCTTGCGGGAACTTATGATGCCATGGGCAGGTATTATATCTGTTAGAATTCCACATCGGCTAAACTTGAACCGGGCCTGCAAAAGCCCGAGCTTTTTTTCCTTTCGTTTTCTAAAAAGGATGGAAGGCCAGGTCTTGTGCATCTCTACTTGGACCATTTCTGTTCAATATAGCTGCGTTTGGTATAATGGACATGACATAACAGAATATAGATCATTGTTCCACGTTTGTAAGGAAAAGAGTGGGACATACATGTTTCACCCGCTCACCATAAAACAAAGTGGAACAGACCTATATCTTACCAATATCACAAAATAAAACCTAATTTTTTTTTTCTAAAACATCAAATACGATGTCTTTTAAAATTTTACTTATTGTATTTTATGCTATTTAAACTTTCACCTTACTGCCCTCAAAATATTATTTCTACATGGTTTATGTATCTTGGTTAATCTATGTAGTTTCTTAAATAATAATAATAATAATAAATTAATATAGAAAAGGGTATAAAATAAAAATTGAAAACTACATAAACTTTATTTGATGGGGTTCCACATATTCTTACAGTATTTATTCGAAAATACTGTATTTTTAGCGGGTTTTGCTTAACCGTTTGAAATTCTTTAACGTTGAGTCTTGTGATGATGTGTGACGTTTATAGGTGGAACGATGCGATCGAGATACTAGAATATGTTGTCGGGATGCGAGAGGAGAAGCTCGGGACGGCAAACCCGGACGTGGACGACGAGAAGCGGAGGCTGACGGAGTTGCTGGACGAAGCCGGTCGGAATCGGAACAAGAAATCGCTGTCACTTGAATTCCTTCTTGAGGCCTAATTTCGTTTTCAAGAACTGGTTTGAATTGAATATGGATAGAACGTCGTCGTAATGTTAGTGTTGGAATCTCGTTTTCCATTGTTGTTATACCAAATCCTGCTGTTAGATTATGCTTTTACTCCAATTTTGTGTTAAAATGAATAAATTGGAATATGTGATTTATGATGGTAACATTTGTGTTATATTTTTTCTTTTAAATAGTTTTCGGTTTAAAAAACTGCCAAATAAAATGCGTCTCAAGCCTTTAATTTGAGCTGCAGAGTGCATACCCCACTCTAGAAACAAAGATACCCATGATTTAGGTAGTGTTTGTTTTTTAAGAGGTATCGAAGTTTGATTTTCACTTCTGATTTATAAAAGGTGATCTTGATGTCTGAAATCTGAATCAGTAGGATTGTTTGTTTTTACGTCTGAAGTTTGAAACCTGATTTGCTTAAATAATATGCAAACATATAAAAGATAAATAGTTTTTGCTAACAAATCTCTTTCAACCTTCAAAATATGAATCATTTGATAGAGAGTAGATTAAGATTAAGTATTAAGAGATACATTTACCACTTAAAATTTCAGAAGACATTTAGGGATTTGAAGCTTTTATTTTAGAAATAAAACAAACGCTTTTAATACTCAAACATCTGAACGAATCAGACTTCAAAGATATCAAGAGATTTCAGATTTGATACCTCCCTCTGACAGTTGTTAAAAGATTTTGTTATCCATTTTCGTCATTTTATCGATTTCTTTTGTCCTTTAAAAAAATATTGTCTACGTAGATTATGCAAAAAAGGTTTATTTATTTAATCTTAAAATCGAGTTTATATAAATGCGTGAAGTTTTTTTTACATAAATTCTGAGTTTTTGACTAAAATGGCAATTCGATTGATAAAATGGCTAAAAAATGAAGAGCAAATTGCATGAAAAAGTAATGTATTTTAAGTTGATTTCTATTTTGGGTAACGTACTTTAAAAAAAAACAGTTTGGTATCTAAGATGTAAAGTTTTAAACATTTAAGTATCCGGGTAACCGGTTGAAGCATTAACCAATTATCATGCTGATGTTGCAAGTGATATGATATCCAACTCAGTATTATTTGCTGACGTGGTTAGTGACATAAATTTTTTTAAATATAAAATTAATCTTCAATCTGTTATCCGGATACTTAAATTTTTTATATTTTAGGTATCAAAAAAAAATTTAAAAATATATTATCCAAAATAAGAATCAAGTTAGATTTTTTCAAATGTAATTAGTCCAAATCCAAAATGAGAAAGGTGGATTGTTTTGGTCCATCTTTGATATTGGGCCGGTTTTAGCCCTTTAAGCGGTATATCATTGAAGGTCAGATACTCAGATGGAGCCTGGAGGTGTCAGATGAACGAGAAATACGCGGGAAACAGTTCTTCGCTTCCAAAACTCTCTTTTCGATCAACCAACTAATCTTCGATTTCATTTCACACATAAAAACGGATTTGTGGAGTCTCTGGAAGATTTATTGCAGATTGAACGAAAGATCAGTGTTGCTGTGTTGGAAATCGGCAATTTATCGCGATCTGAAGAACATCCACCGCGGTGGCTGTGGCTCCACCGCTCTCCGACCTACTTCCAAGCGTTGGTGGTACGTTGAGGTGAACTCGTAAGATGTATTCACTGGATTATATAGTTTGATCGTGTCCTTCTCTTTGATAAACGAACTTTTGATCTGTATTGTGATTTGTGATCCATTTGGAATTGAATTGCTTTTTACGATTAAGCTAAAGGTTATTAACCTTATTCCTAATCAAGTTGACTACAATTACAACCACAAAATGGTCTTGGATATTGAAATTCAATGGTTTCACAATTTGTTAGGTTTCTGTCACTAAGTTGAATCTGAAAAAAGTTGTTTGTTGCAATCATATGTAGGTGAAGAATTAGTTTAAAGAGACTGAACGATTGAATCTACTAATCGTTCATGATCGTATGTACCCTAGCATCGAAGTCGTGTTCGAATTCTTCTTTCATTTCAGCATTTCAGGCAACCTACTATAGTCACTAATTGAATGTGGGATTCATGATCGTAAATAGACGCTGCTACATTTATGCTAAACATATTTACTTCATTTCTAGTAACAACTAACCAGCTCCTTATCGTTATATAGTTGTTACCTATCTGTGATATCTTTGATTCATGTTAGATATCAGCATCCTAGAGCTTTGGTACACGATTTTCCATCTCAAGTCTGAGAAGTGATTTTTTCTGGTTTGATCAGCTATCAAGTTGTTTAGAAATGAACATGTATTCTTCTTGAGACATGTGGATATTGTATTTATGGGTCCTTAGCCCAGTGATGCATTGACCCATACCATTTAAACAGCTTATCGCAGGTACAAGAAAGGTAGAGGGTTATTCCATTGAGACGAAGAATCGTGTGAGAATAGGAGTTAAAGTGAGGAGCGTAAGAAAGATATCTGAACCCTTATCACTCCCCCACCAGATGAATTGTGCTTCTCATGGGACTTGATCCGGTGCATCTCGGTACTGTTGATCTTCAATTAGGATTGATCCAAGCATGTAGATCCCTTCTTACCTTTCTCACCATAACTTCCATTCTCCCCGGAACCTAACCCTTCCAATGAAATCATCCTATATAAATATGTCAGATTCTATGATTCTGAGGTTTTCTTTTGATTTTGAGCAACTGCATTGGAGAGACATCCTATGGATTTCGACCATATGGTATTTGTAACTTTACGTGCTCACAGTGAAACTTTCTTTACCACTAGGGTTGTGACGTGCAAGTTAAGATTTGTAGTGGAAATCTCAATTTCCCCAGGTTCGAATCCAAGTGCTGCTAGAGCCCTTATGGTCATGGTGGTTCCCCTGCAATGACTTCAGGCCATTCGTGGTCGCCCGGGGATTAGTCGGTGGGCATAAGTTGACCCAGAAACCCACGGTTACCCAAAAAAACTTTACCTATAGGAGACTTTTTTTTACCACCCTTAATAAACTCTGTAGTGACTCCTTCACGCTTTATTTTTTAAGAATTGAGGCATACCATGAAACAGGAGTAACATCTTATGGATCGACGATGGACTAACTCAGAAATATCGTGTTATTTAAAATTATGATCGGGTCTACATGGTTATGATTTCTTTATAGAAAATTGACTTCTACATAACCACCTCATAAACTTCATCTTTGTAAGGATGACTGTAAGAAACATCCCACCCTCTTAGAAGAGCTTCCAATGCAGTATAGTGGCAACATCTTTTACCTAGCAAAGGAACAAAGGGAAAAAAGAAAAATAACCATGTATATATAGTAACCACTTTGAATTATATATATCATATTAGGCAATAATAACAACAATTTCCTTCTTGTTATTGGAAATACAGAATGAAGGAGAACAAAAGAGTAGGGGTAATGAAGGGATTATATAAAAGATGTGTAACTCGATCATACAGAGGTAGGCGGCGAAAGGCCAAAGTCAAGTCCCCATAGCTCAAAGGTTCCGTTAACAAAATCGTAGTGACCACCCTTGAGTGCTAGTGTCTTCTTCACCAACCCATCTCTTACAAACGGGTAAGTCAGCAGGTGTCCGAGTGATACATTCACAGCCTCCTGCATACTCAAAGTTGGTCATAAACAGAATTGATAAACCAAACCAAAAAAAACTCGGCATATCCCACCCGAAGGTGGGATCTGGGAGGGGGTGAAATGTTTGCAGACCTCACCTCCACCCCAAATGGTAGAACAACTGTTTCCATGAAGATCTTGGCCATAAAGATAATAGATATTTGTAGGAAGACAGTAATATGAAGATGGTTCTTTACCTTTTCACATTGTACACATTGGTCATCGACAGATGTACTTCCATGTTCTGCTAGTACCTTAGACTTTGCTGGGAGACATACTTTCACCCAATCCTCGATAAAATCACTGCCAATGCCATATATCGCCATTAGATGTTCAAATTGCTTCTTAGAGTATCAGAATAATAGATGAATGAACCGAAATGAACAAAGAAATATGAATCATGATGATGATGCAATATGCATAGATTATCTTGAGATGGCAGATTTTTAGAAGTCCTTCTGACAAATTAAAATGTCTTTGCCTAAAAGAAGAATGCTGCTTCTTAACACAAGAATGTCTCAGAATGGGTTAAAATATTACCGTTTAAAAACAATATTTCCGAAGGTTATTCTCCTAAATAACCCTTAGATAGGAAGAGAAACTTACGTTGTGTGAGGTCCTTCGTCTGGGAAAGACATGAGACCCTTGATCCCTCCACAACGGCTGTGCCCAATTACGATTATTTGCTCTACCTGCACCCATCGAAATCACGATTCTTAACTCATTTCTGCTTTCATACATGCAATCTGGTTTGTTTATATATGCGAATGGTGTATGTGTACATATAGAAAGTTTATTTGAACAGTCCTCACTTCGATCTTCTTTGAAGGTATTCATAGGGGTGTTTGGGATTGCTTATTTAAAAAAACTTATGTTTTTTTGTAAAAGTGCTTATTAACTTATGTAATATCAAACAGAGTTAAAATTGTAAACTGGTAATAAACAATTTTTCATAAGTCAGGAAGGATTAACTTATCAAAAACAACTTATTACCGGTTTGACATTGGTATAAGCAGTTTTTTTTTCTTATCCAAACACCAGAAAACAACTTATCACCAATGTCAGACTGAAATAAGTTAAAAAACATTTTTACAAGCAATCCCAAACACCTCCATAAAATATGTAGGCTGAATTTGGTAACTGGGACGCGACTCGAGTTCCACATTGGCTAGCAGGTATTCAAACTTGTACGTACATTTATATATGAGTAATTTACCTTTTTAGTCCCTGTGGTTTGTCAATTATTGCCATTTTAATCCATGTAATTTAGAAATTGCGGTTTTTGTCCTTATGATCTACATATTATTGTTGTTTTGGGCCCTATGATTTATGATTGTTTACTATTTTGGTCCCTTGTACTTAAAGGTAGAAATTAGTCTAGGGACGAAAATAGCAATAAATTGCAAACCATAGGAACGAAAATTACAATTTCTAAACCATAAGGACAAAAATCGCAACATTTGACAAACCACAGGGTGAGAATTGTAAGGAACCTTCCCTCTTGCTGTAACGTTTCTCTTTGAGAGAATTTGAAGAGGATCCCCATATTTTAACACAGTATCAGAACCATGGTCTAGTACTTCTTGGGTATTTGACACTCTTTTGTCTCGGTTTTGAAGTGGCATATGTGGTGAATTTTGCAACAACGGTAGTCATTTGAGTCAATTGTAGATTGAGTAATAATGGAAGCCAGATTCTTCTTGCTAGCTTTACTATTAATAAGGTGTTCAAAAGATTACCTTGAGATGCAAAACTGCATACTCAACTGCAGCTCCTACTCCAGCATATTTAGTCTGTTTTTGCAGGCAACGAAGAAAATTAACCATGGTTAATCTATGTCAACTATTTACCAGATATCAGTATTAAGAGTTATCGTGAGAAGGTGAGAGCAAAACCTTCATATGCATTATATACTTTCATCTACATTCAACTATTTTTATTTACCTTTTCTATAATTATGAACAAAAGTTTAACAAATTAATGCATGTGAAAGTGATTTAATGTATGTAAAAGTTCGTGAAAGTGACATAAAAGTAAAGATAAATTTGAAAATAGAGGTAGATGAATGTAGTTGAAAAATTAAGTTCGATTAAAAAGTCAACTCATCCAAATGCTCAAAAGTTTTCTCTTCATAACTTTTATTCTCACATGATCCCTCTCCTAGCAGTAGAAGTAGTAGTAGCAGTAACTTTGAACTAACCTGGTTATAGGGAGGGACCATGTTGGCAACATTACGGACTACAAATGCCTCACCGGGTTGGAAATCGAGCACAACTGATGGGCAAACCCGCGAGTCTGAGCATGCAAAAACCATGAACTGCCACACACAGTCGAGATTAGTTTATACGGTACAGGTAGGTGAAATTTACTGGGTTCGTTTGGTTTGTTTTGGTTTAGTACTGATATATTTTGTCAGTTCATTTTTGGGGTCATTCAGGTATATAACCTCAAATGAGATTTTAATTACCTTACCTATTAATAAAATCTCCCAAATGATTATTCTTCTAAATAACCCTGTTTCTGCGGACATTTAGGTATGTACTCTTAGATGAAATTTTAATTAAATCCATGATCTTCTCATCAATACAAACCATTTTTTTCTTTAATAAGCCGAGAGCATGGGCGGACCTATCTATATCCAAGCGTGCTCCCATGCACCTGCTCAATTTGTTTTCGCTAGTAGAATTTTTTTAGGAACATCAAGTAAAAAACTGAAAAAGCCTCTCGAAAAATCAACCAAAAAAACCAAAAAAGTCCCTCAGAATCTACTCAAAAAACTTAAAATTCCCTTGAAATCAACCATTTTTCAGAAATCCCTCAAAACGGTGGAATTCGGATGAAAACACATCAGACGACTTTGCGGGCCTTTATCGTACCTTAAAGGTTCCCATTTCAGCAAAAATCTTGAGTCTGACACTGATCAGAAGGTCGTGAATTTAACTAAAACCCTATTTAAGGTTATATGCCTGCATATCCCCCGTTTCTACCCTTGTTGGGCTATATATCGATAGGTAGAAGTAGAACATAAGTTGTACCTTTGGGCTCTGGCCTTTGGCAAGTTCACCGTACAAGGCTGGGTTAGTTCTGCATACACGTGCACCGAATAATGTTAAATTGAGAAAAAAGTAAAATAACGGTAAAAAAGACAAGACGGGATTTTTAGGTATTATAGTTAAAACGTTACTCGTATTTCTCTCTCTTGAACTTGACGAAACCCGTTTTGATCCTCTCAACAGGATCAAAAGGAGCTTTGGCATCAGGTGTTTGAAGCTCGGCTGTGATTTGGTCGATTCTTGCCGCGGCAACAGGTTCTAACTCTCCCTTTTCACTGTCGAATAATCGCAAAATCAGGGTCAAATTAGTAATTTCTGGTGCCAAAAATAGGAAAATATTGGTTTCAATTTTATATTTTGAAAAAAAATTTAAATTAAAATGCATAACCTCGAAAATTTCACTTGGTTCGACTTACATTAGAAGCTTCTTGAGTGCAGCAATCGCATCCTCGTATGATTCATTTCCCATGTCTTCGGTCTGCAAATTTGGTTAAATGATGTCATATAAAACTCATTTTTACAAATATAATTTTTCGGGTCTTGTTTGGTTTGTAAAATTGAATTGAATTTGGAATTGAATTTCATAAAATCTCATGTTTGGTTTAAAAGATTTTATGAATTTGAAATCCCGGGATTTCATTATAGGATTTTGAAATCCCGGGATTTCATTATAGGATTTTGAAATCCCATGAAATGGTTGGTATTTCATTGGATTTCGTAGGATTTGTATGTAATAATATTTTAAAAACATTTGTTTTGTAATATTCAATTAATAAAAAAAGTAGTTTAATAATTTTATAATTATTTATAATTTGTTATTTTAAATTATATATAAAAAATTAAATTCAATTCTATTTCAAATCGATCAAAGATTCCAAATCTCCAACTCCAAAGCCATCTATAAAATCCAAATCTATCTAAATCTATCCATCAAACTAAACGCCTCCTTAACATTTGTTTGGTTTGTTGGATTTGGTGGGATTTATAATTGGTTTCTATTCTATCGCTTTTATTCGTAGGATTTCATAACTTTGTTTATAATAATGTTTTAAAATACGTCAAAAAAACATTTATTTTGTGATAATTAACTAACAAAAAAATAATTTAATTATTTTTAATTCGTCTTCATAAATTATCTTTAAAAGATAGAAATTCAATTTTATTCTAAATTCTAAAAACCAAACACACTAAAAATTCTAAATTCTTCACAAAATCAAATCGCTAAAAACATTTTAACGGAACATCCTCTAGTGTTAAAAAAATTTAGATAACAAATGTTTTAAACTAGAGATAAGATGTTTAATGGCACATGAATTAAAAGGTTATTGAGTTATATTTTTTTTAATTCATGTATTTAATTAAAATCTTATTGAGTCTAACCCCGATCTGATTTGTTACGGCCGGATTTGTGCGAGCATAATTAGCTAACGCTCTATATGAATATAAGCAGCTGATAACATTATTCGTTTAAGCTTCGTGAAACCGAAATTACCTCCATCAATGCGGGAGTCTACGGGCATAATCCAGCGTTAGGTTATTCGAGTTCAGTTTAAAAAATTTATATCATGCTCGAGTTTGAATAACTTTTTCAATAAAGGGCTCGAACTCAAATATTTTTTGAGTTATCGAGCTAGGTGCTTGTTTATGGGCTTGTACCCGTGATCGATTAACTCGTTTATTGGTTCAAGGTTGATCATTTTTATATTATTTATGAACATATAAGCATGTTTGGATCAAAGAAAATATACGTCGGCCCGACTCAACTCGAAAAATTTAATAGAGTTTTCGAACGAGCCGAGTTGAACATTGGTTTTATAAAGCTCGACTCGTTAAGTTAAACGAGTTCTATTTTGTGTTGGATATCAACGTGAGCTCGAGAATTATTAAACTCCGAGATAAACAAGTAGCTCGTTAAAAGCTCGACTCATTTACACTCCTAGACTGGAAATGTGGCTACCTTTAGAAGTACACAAATGACAGAGGAAACGTACCCACTTCGGAGTGATGATCGGAGCAGGAGCAGCAAAAACCGGCTGGTTACGAATCAGGCTCGGAGGAGTTGCAGAAGAAGATGATGATGAAGAAGAAGAAGATGATGATGAATTGCAGGTAAACCTAGCGGAAAACGACGGAGATCTGGCTAAAGATGACGATTTCTTAATCGAAGAAGCATTTAGGAAACACGGAGCATTAACGGCGAAAGCAGAAGCGGTCGACATTGGTCACGATTTTCACGAAACAACTGTTGTTTGTTTGAAGTCGAAGATCTCATCTGGGGATTTATAGTGAAGTTTTTCAGATAAACCGATCAGGTATGAGCGTTTCAGACCATTCATCCTTTTTGCAGTGTTGTTATTCTTCGTTTTTAGAATATTTCGTTTGATTTGTTTCTTAGGAAGAAATTAAATTCGATCCAAGGAAACAGGCACAGGGCCCATGCATTTACTGTTCGCCACGGAGATCTTGCATGCTGGTATGTATGTTATATGTATATATCACACAGTAACACATTATCACCGCTCGTGGACCATCTTCATGGAAATTTTCACTGGTTTATGTGAGCACTGCATGTTTTTATAACAACTCCGAGACCATAAAATAACACTAAACTTTCATAATAAAACATTGAACCTAGTGAGAAAACCGGGAAAAGACCCGAGAGGCATACAAACTACTAAACCTTTACAGTGCACTGAAAAGGTTCAATGCTACTTTTGTGGTCTCACAGGTCTCATGAAAACAACCTTATCTCACATGGGATATATATACATACACACACGGGAAAACAGCAAAGAAAATGAAAAACTGAGAAACACGTTGATAACCATTAATCTTGACGGTATGCACATGTGTGTACAAGTAATTTGTAAGCAATTTTCCGGTATGCACATGTGCATAACACGCATGTGTGCATAAAAACCAAAAAACAACTTCAATTACTTGTATACACATGAGCATGCTATCCAGATGATGACAAGGTGTTCCTTAGTTTTTCTTTTCCTGGGAGGTTTTACCCCGAACCTCCCCCTTCTCTCTCTTTCTTTATATATATATATATATATATATATATATATATATATATATATAGACTTGGGATCACGTGAGACCAGCCTGTTTTCGTGAGACCCGTGAGAACAACTTTTTACACTTGAAACTTCACAACAAAATGTTGTGAAGGTAACCTTCACAGTGTTTTTGCTGTGAAGGTTCGACTTTTTTAAACCTTCACAGTGTTTTTTGCTGTGAAGATTCGACTTTTTTAAACCTTCACAGTGTTTTTGCTGTGAAGTTTCAAGTGTAAGAATGTGGTCTCACGGGTCTCACGAAAACAGTCTGGTCTCACGTGAACCCAACCCTATATATATATATTTATATATATATATATATATATATATATATATATATATATATATATAAGGGGTTAATCATTTGAGAGCTCTATATATTGTGATAATTGTGAGAACTTTGATCTTAAAGCATTGTTTGACATGATTTTTTCTCATCTAAATTTAGCATTTAATATATTAATGAACATATTATTTCATGTAACTTTTGTTTCACAATAAGGTTTAAAATGTTCACATCGTGAAACAAATATATGTTAATCGAGGTTTTAAATCCCAGTCTCAGATAAAAAGAATTATACAAATACTATATGATGCACTAGTTCTCAAGATTATAACAATTTTGGTTATAAAAAAGCTCCCATATATACATATATACTTATAAATAATCTTTTAACAGTGATCTAAAATCAATTTGAATTTATAAGCGGAAACAAACCAAAGACTCAATTGGTGAAATTGAGTCAACCTATCACTTCAATTTGAATTTTTGGCAAGCATTATGTGATGATGATGGATGAATGGCCATGGATGGAGGATGTATATACATGATATCTTACCATTACTGTTGATGTGTGGTTGCCAATAACAGAAAATGGTTAATGGCCCCTTGATGGTGAGATATCTAAACCATTTTTTATATTTTCATAATATATAATTCAGTTATTTTATTGGTTTGATGTTGGTTCTTACTCTTTCTACCATGAAAATTCGACATTTAAATATAAATAATGGAACTTTTATCTATCTGTTAATTTACATCTTATTACTGAATAATATTGGTATAGAATCTGAAAAAACATGTGTAGCTAATCAATACACAATCGTTGCATTTATCCCAGACGTTCATTACGACACAATGAGAAGTTTGGAAACGAATACTAGAATTGAGGTACGGATAAATTGTATATTTTTTTCTTTTGGTTTTTATATTTTCTTGTTAATACTGAGTATGAGATATAAATGACATGAAACAAGGGTAAAGAGAAAATGCTCGTGTGCACACTACAAGAACGTTGATCTTAAAGAACTACTTTACAAGACTTAAGTTTATAGGACCAAACCAAAAAACGTCATATCTAAAAGTGTTATGATGGGTTTATAGGATATACTTCTAGGCGTTTTAACAAGGTTATTAGGACACTTTTAAAATAAAAAGTGTCGTATTAACTAATTTTATACGACATTATTTGAAAAAGATGGTTTATAGGACCCTTCTTAAAGGTGTCCTATAAAAAGCTAATATGACACTTATTTTTAAAAGCTTCTAAAGGAACTTCTTAAAACGCCTGAAAATTTCATATAATCATATTGTAACACTTTTAGATAGTACTATTTATTGTTTGATACTATAAATTTAAGTTTTATAAGGTATTTTATTACGACGTTTAAACAATCTAGGCATTCTATAAAGCTAATTTTGTTGTAATAACATCTTATCCTTTTTAGACTATACTTTCGAATAAGATATACTGGTTTTTACATACTATATGGTTGCAGCAGGGTGTTTTGGCATGCAATGAATGTAGGGCAAAGGATGGAGGGTATGATGATATAGAGATAAGATGGTGGTGGTATGAATTGCTCTCATTATCTACATTGAATGGTATGTTGATGCTCTCTTTACCATTTGCCTTTTTCTATCCTTATCCATTTTAGCTTCTTTTGCCCTAGTTATTTGCTAGAATATGTGGTACAAAGCATTTGCATCATCTCATTCACATAGTTATAACCAAAAGTAAACAAGAAAGAAGAAAAAAAACAATAGAGGTGTTTTATATATATATATATATATATATGTATATATGAACTAAACCGTTATGTCTTGGTTTCTGCTTAGGGTGTCCGAATGTTGTTTTGGACGGACACATATATAGCTCCATGCCCAAATCCATGACATTGTTGTTCTTTCAACAATTTTAGTGAACCCGTCAGTAGGATTCGAACCCAGATGAAGTTTTGACCATCTGTCAAAGAAAAAAGAAAGATATAGTCTTGAACAAGTTAAGAGAATTTGATTAGAACTGGAGGACGTAGGATTCTCAAAGCAATTCAAAGCATAAACAAATGCACATATTTAGTGTAAGATCCCTGACTAAAAATCACATCAAACCAAATAACCCTAGTAAAATAGACGTAAAAATGGGTATTGGGAGGGTAAGATACTCATATATACGCAACATTTCGTCACTATAAAGGGTAAAGTGGTTGTTTCTATGAAGATCTTCCGTTTGCAAAAAAGTATGTGAAGTTTTTCTAGCCGGTCACGTATGCCCATATCCATGACATTGTTGCTTCTTCAACAACTTCTGATCTCTAGTGGACTTCTCGATAGGATTCGAATCCAGATGTACGCAACATTCTTGCACCTAAATTATAGAGGTTTCTGTAAAGATCTTCCAATAACACAAACTAGTAAGATCCCTAACTCATATAGTTTAGAGTACAAGAGGATTGATTTATACAAGGGTCATATAACCTTTTAGATGTACACATGATGTCATCATTCTATAACTTGCAATGAAATAGTCCAAAGGATCCTATTATATTTTTGAATACTATTTCAACATCCATGTTGACATCCTTTTGTCACCTTTACATGTTCCTTCTTATATCATTGTGTTAGTTTTGGCCTTTTTATTTAATATTTTATGTTATATTTTCTTTTGATTAACCTAGATATCCAACCCGTTATGTGAGCCGACTATTTCTAATCCCAGGCCGATAACCCGCGAGTCACTGCATTTGAACCTGCGTGGCCACAATAGGATTTTTATTTCTCCTTGGATTCGAACATGAGACCTCTAGGCACTTTTGACCTTTGGAGCTCAAGCTCAAACCAATCATGCACCACCCTTGTAGTTATTTTATGTTATATTTTAGTGAGTCATAAAAGAGATATAGATTATTTGGATAAAGGGTCATCTGGAAAAAAAATTATATATAGTTGTATTGATATTTTAAGTCTCTTGACATATAGGGTTTATGTAAAACGATCACTTTCACATGAGTTAAACTTGGTTAGCTAATGGTCTAAATATATGGTTGATGTATTAGCATGGTGGAAAGAAAAGAACCACTTTGATTTTAGCCATGACCCATGATTTATTGACCGTCTAAGTTACCATAGTAGCTTTGGAGTCTGTTTTTCAGCTGAATAGAGGATTGCTAATAGAGTGAATGACAGAATTTACACTGAAATTGGTCAAAGTTTATGTATGCCTCAAGAATTAATTGGATGGCATTTAGGTTAAAATTTCGTCCTCGTGGTTATTAAAAAATTTGGGTTGGGTTTCCCAAACGAAATAATTTCATGCCGAGTCACCATGGTTTCATTTTTGTTTTGTATTGCGTCCCTTGCTATGACTCCACTAACCGAGGCTCCATTAAGGGACCGTTTACCAAACACTTAGAGGAAAAGAATCTTGTAAATTCGATCAATGAAACAGAGCTTCTTTTGAAACATGTCATAATGCGTTACAACGGAAGTCAAACCTTAGAATATAGCCAGGTTAACGCGGCAGCAAAGCTAAGCCTCGGTGCCATAACGAGTCATTTAAAATCATGATTATAATCGATCGGTACACAGTACTGAGGAAAAAAAAAGACATGATACCATACCATGTTCATCCCTAATGAAACGTAAGCCTTGAACCACGACCATCGTATTCGTGGGGATGCCTATTAAAACATTGGTTTAGAAGATACAATCTTCATTTATATCACATCAAGATTTGGGCTAAGACCGCCCACATCAAGGTTTGGGCTAAGACCGGGCCGATTGATAATTGTTGAAGGGTGGGTTAAGCAATTCTTAGAAAACAAAGGACTAAAATAATTATAAACAACAAATTACAAGGACTTACTTTTATATATTTATGTGCATTCAGAAAAATAAAAAAAAATAATGTATGTAAGAAGGGAAATTAATTATAAAAAATAGTCAATACATGGGGCCGTTTACCTAAATGCTTACCCGATAAGTATTTACTGATAGGATTCAACATTATAATTTATTTTGATACGTAAGATTTTAGTACATCAAAACATATCGAATGCAACAAGTTACTGGGTAAGTGCTTACCTGGGTAAGAGTCGCCATCTTTACTTATCGGCTAAGACTCTCTATCATTTTTATTGTTTTTACCCGGTAAGATTCTTGATCCTTCTCATGTTCATCCGATAAAGAAATTTATCTAGTAAGCATTTACTAAATAAATGTTTAATAAATGACTCCTAACTCTTTTCACTTTTTAGTCATGTAAGGAACCAATTTCAATAAATAGTAAATTCTTATACATAAAGCTTACATATATCATATGTGTTATGACTGGTTTTGAGCAAAACAGAAAAAATAATAATAATAAGAACCCCTACGCCGAACAAAAAAGTGGTTTTCCGCTTAAGAATTCCATTTTCTACGTAAGGATTCTGTTTTCCACGAAAGAAGTCTTCTTTTTATTATTATTTTTGCCAAAAATCGGTCGTTATACATTTGTGTAAGTTTTATACGTAAAGATTAAATAAAAAATGAATTTGGGTTAGAATATGACCACTTAGGGATGGACCCAATTTTTTTTCAAACGGTGGCACCGTTTAACTATAAGAAAAAAATATAGGGAAATTTTTGCAAACGATGTCATCATTTGATTATAAGAAACAAATGTACATAATTTTTTTTCAAACGGTGTTACCATTTGACTAAGAAATGACACTAACTTGGGTTTTGGCTGGAATAAAAGTCTTGCAAACCAACTCTACCAAATAAAACTTGTTCTAATTGTAGTTTCAAAATAAATACGATGACACACAACAAATAATACGATAGTACATTTCATGAACCTAAATTTTTTTACCCTAAGATGCGTGCTATCATATGCTCTCTTATAGGTCTGTCACTATAACCACTTATCAACTTTGACTATTTATATAAATTTCAGAATGCATCAAAATTCAAAGACTTAGGGGTCACGTACGGAGTGATGGACCCCTTTTGGCCATTTGTGTGTTATAAACAAGGTATTTCAAATTTCAAGCCATGCTTCCTTGAACGTGGATCATGGGTCATCTCATTTATTGTGAATCATTAATTCCTTAAAACCATGTTTCTAGAATACCATTTTTATCACACATTTCATTTGTTTTTGGTGTTTTTGAAATTTCAAGTTGGTCAATATGATATTTAAGAATTTGGTATCTTTTTATTGACTGTTAAATGAGAGACTTTTTTGTTCTTTTACTAATTTTTGTTTTTTGTACAACCAAAATAGATTTTCATGGTTTTGGTTTGTTTTTAGTTGACGGTTTCATGCATATTACTCGATTTATTAACATGAATTGAAGTTGAGATATTGATACAAGTTCTTCTCTTATGAATCAATAACCCTTTGGGGTTATTTTGCACTTGGAATCAGTGAATTTGGCACTGGACGTTTCCCAAACGGGTACTGACTGGTAATAAATACCGGGACTTCGCAGTTTTTTGTTAGGTAAAAGATAGAAAAATGGAAATGTTCTTCATTTAGTATAATTTCTTTCAACGACCATTAGAGAAAACCAAATCTGGAAGTTTTTACAAACCATGAACGTTATCTTATAATTTCCAAATAGCTATGCGAGCCTATTAATCTCAGGGAAAAACCACATGTTTTGTAGGTAGCCCGGAGTCACCGCATTTGAATCTCCATGACCACAACAAGATTTTTATTTCTCCTTGGATTTGAACCTGAGACCTCTAGACACTTTTAACCTTTAAAACTCAAGCTCAAATCAATCAAACACTGCTTATGTGGTTGAAACATATGATTTTTTACAAACCACATGGATCACGTTTGTAGTTTACTCTAAAATCTAATTTTGAATTTCTTGGGAGAATTTTCATCAAGAAACTGTGTTTCTAGAAATAAAATTTTGCTGTCAAGTTATTAATAAGTTTTTCATATCTTATTACTCGATACTCGAATATGACTCGAACTCGGAAGTTTGATATGGAAAAAGTTATGACGATTTAGACGTATTAAGACCACCAACGACTTAAATATTTGTTCAATTTAAGTGATTCTTTTTCATTGCATCAAATGCAAAACGAGTCATTTACTTTAGTAAATGACATGAGATGTGATGTAACTTAGGGACGATTTACCAACGGTAAGTGTTTATTGTAAAAAATCACCATTCTTACTTTATCATGTAACATTCTTGGTAATTAAAATGAATTATTGTTAAATATCTTTTATTTACAGTTAAAAGTTTTCTCTCTCACTTACCTGATAATCATTTGGTAGACGACCCTTAGTCGACAAATATGTGTGTATATACATAGGATTAGGATCTCCACCATTGGATGTACATTAGGATGAGATGCATCTGATCAATCTCTATATCAAACGCGATTCATGGGCGGGTTTGCGATGTAAAGGTGATCAAAAATTCAAATCCCTTCTTATGCTTCTCATCTTAACTCTCTTTCTCACACGATCTTTCGTCTATATACATATAAATCTCTATTTTCTAATATTCAGTGATATTGTATAATGTAAAGTCATATAAGAAAATAAAGTAATATACAGGTCTTACAAAATATATAAAACGAGGGGATTATGTCACGCCACAACGATGTCACCCCTTAACCCAACGACAACGAGAGTTAACGGGACGTGAGAGAGACTTTTGCCATCATGAATTGATGATACTGCAACATCGTGTCTTTAAATCACGAGTTCTTTGAGAGTCACTGCATCATGTGATATGGCTAGAATTTAATATTAGTTATTAGCATGTATTTGTTTCACAATGTGTTTATTTCACTTGTAGTCGTTCATAATGTGAACCTTTTTGACATGTTTGTGAAACAAAATTACACGTAAAAGAATTTTACATTGTGAATCGAATACATGTGAAACAAAATATACACGTAAAAGAATTTCACGTTGTGAATCGAATACATGTGAAACAAATATATGTTAATTCATACATTAAATACTATAATTAGATGAAAAAAAATCATGTGAAATAAAATCTTAAGAAATAAATTATCATGCATATCATAAATTTCAGTATTCTCAAATTATTAAGCCCTCACTTATATTTATACAGCCGTGTTTAGTAAATTTAACTGTTTATTACATCGTCAAACAGTAGGACGGTCTTAATCGATTTAGGCGTTTAAATATGAGGCTGATATTTATTTAAAGCATAAGGACATGATTTAGTCTTGTATTTCAACATCTAAATTAGTTATAACAAAATTCTGATTGAAACTTATCAAATAAATGAAGTGGTCCTATTTTCTTAACGATATAAGTTATCTATAAGATTTAAAAGGGTCTTTGACCTAACGGTATATAGTGATGGCCAAACTGGCCTGACCTATTCTGAGATCGCCAGAGGACCGAAACCGAGACCAGTTACATATTTGGAGCGATTTGAGGGACCGGCCCGACCCGGCCCGGTTTTTTTTAATGTAATTATAATTATAATTTTTAGATGTAATTTTAATTATAATAAAACGCATTTTTAAAGTGTATTTGAGTGACCAAATTACAAATTTTATAATGTATTCAAAAAATCAATCATTTTTTTTAATATCTTTTTTTGGTCCGGGACCGATTACGTTATAGAACACCTTAACTGGGCCTAAGTATGTTCGATGGGACGGGGACCGGGACCGGAACCGGTTACGACCGACACTGTTTCGGCCCGTGACCGGATTTTGGTCATCACTAGCGATATGTAAGTCTTTGGCTTCCTATGAGGTTATAAGTTCAAATCTCACCATATGTGAGGAGAGTGTGAGTTTTTTTTTGTTCAATTAACCGTATATAAAAATTATATACTTCAAAAGAAAAAAAAGATATTAAAAGACCATTTTTAACATATTTGTTGAAATGGGGAAAATATAGATTTTATGGATATTGAGCAAGTTTTTGATAAAATGGATTCTCCAAATTTGATAAAGAGCTAAGACTTCTCTAAGAGATTCTTAAAAATGAAGGATTAAAAGTCAAAATCTTTAAATAAAATTTATATTCATCTTCAACAGCTTCGTTATTTTGGAGATGACGATATGAATTATCTATACTATATCATAAAACATTTGAAAAGAAAAACTCTTAAAAATCATTCTTTATGCATGAAGTACTGTTTATTAATGCATATTCTTTAAAATTTTAAGATTACAAGTAAATTGTACATAAGTACAACTTATTGAAGCTCTATTTTGAATTCGTATAACTAACTGCAGATAAACATAATCAAATACATGATAAACATCTTATTTTAAATATAATTAGGATAATCGTTGAATTCTAACAGCATCATTGTCATTATAAAAATTAAATCGTTAAGTCAAAAATAAATTACTTTGCTATTGGAACTAAATTGAATTATAATAAAAACTTGAATTAAAGAAATTATACAAAAACAAGAACTTTTAAATAGTTAATTTGATATTAATTTCAATATATTTTTTCAAAATTTTATGATGTTCTCAAATTTATTTTTATTCAAAAGTAAAAACATTATATTTACTAAAACCACATAAACCATATTATTTTAACAGAAACTAAAATAAAATAAAACATTAAAATACTGTATTGTACGAATATCCTTATAATATTATTAAAATATCTGATTTATTTAATAAAATATTATTTCTCTTTCATTAGACATTTAATTTTCAATTCTAATTTGTATAAACAACTTTGAAAATGTTGGAAGGTCTCTTGTATCTAGAAGGTGTCTTGACTCTTCGTTTCATGGAAGCAACTAAAGTCTCATTGAAACATATTTACAATGAATTGAACTTGAAGTGATCAATGGAAGTAATTAAATTAAACAAAATTTCATTTGATTATACTTAGAATGGAAGCATTTTCCCCATTCGATTATGATTTGCAAATAACCCTACCAGATCTTGTCTATAAGGTAGATACGATCTCCTCTTCACAATTTCATTTTCTGCTCGTTTTTGCACGTAAAATTGTTCGTGAACCGGAGTTTCAGATTTCAACCGGTGAGATGCTCTGGAAACTTCGCCGGAATTCCGTTTCTGTTTCGGACTATCGATCTTCTTTGAGGTTACGAACAACATCGGCTCCTTTCCTTCGCTGTTACTCCGCCGGAGCAGATACCGGATTCTCCACCGTTTAGATCCAGATCCGGTGGAATTACTCTTCTTGCATTTAGTTATTTGAGGCGACGATCCACCGTCTGCTTTTGGTCTCCATACACAGTAGGTTCCAGAAGGTACACTTTCCAATTCATCAGCTTCTGATGAAGAATACGAAGAGGATTCTTCATGTTCATCAATAAACAATTTCCGTAACGTACCAGTAATCGAAGCAGAAACATCAGTCTCATCATTTTTTGCTTTAATCTCTCGATCTACTCCATCCTTCACCAGAAGATCGCGGTTGAAAACCGGAAAAACGGTCCAGGATCGTGAATCGATCTCTTCCTGTGAAACTTCTTCGTCTCTTAACACCAAAAACTCAAAATCCTCACCTTCAAATTCGTGAAATTCGTGAAATCGAGCTGCCTGTTCTTCATTACTCACCTTGGCGGCCGCCATGGATGTTAAACTATGAGATGAGTAACAACTGAAGCTTGGAGACGATCTCGAATCTTCGATTTTGGCTTCTTGTTGCATTTCTTTGAAAATTCCAAGAAACTTGTTTGGTTTTTTGTGATCGAAAGATGGTGAGTTGTTGATGAATGAGAGGAAAGGTCACTTGGTAGCAGGGGTATTTATAGAGCAGGGAAAGAGGAGCTGAGCGCGTGAGTTTCATTAATATCAGCTGACGTAATCGTTTACGTCATTTGTAAAATAAGGCAAGTTATTAAATTGTATTTCTTTTTCCTAAATAAGTTTTACCGATAAAAAAATATATATAATAAAAGATAAATTGCATGAAAAATTAACGTACTTTATCTTGATTTTTGTTTTGGGTAACATATTTTTAGAACTTTCGTTTTGATATTTAAGATTTAAAGTTTTAAACATTTAAATACTCGGATAACCAGTTGAAACATTAACTAGTTACCAAGCTGATGTGGCGAGTAACAAGGTCGTCCTTTAACATGTTAAATGTGAGATTTTGAACAAGCCTCCGAAATTTTGGGTCCTAAATTTACATGTGTTTAGGTATTTTTATCAACTTGTGTAAAATTATAATCGAAATTATTTAGGTTCAAACTATTAATTGTTTGGTTTTAGGTTCAAATTATTAATGATTTAGATTTAGTTTCAGATTGTTAATCTTTTAGGTTTAACCCATTTTTGTTTTTTTAACATATGTTCTCTGATATTTCATTTATACCATATACTTAAAAGTTTTGGATGTTGCAGAGCCTCCAAAAATATTGGGACGTCCCTAGCGAGTGATGGGATGAAATTGGGTTGAATAACAAATAATACTAAGTTGGATACCACATCACTCGTCACATAAGCATGGTAACCAGTTAATGTTTCAACTGGTTACATATGGACATAAATGTTTAAAACCTTACATCTCATGTATTAAAATGGAAGTTTTGAAAGTACGTTACCTGAAATAACAATTAAGTTAAAGTACGTTACTTTTTCATACAATTTGCCTTTTAATAAATACAAATTATTGATTAAAACTTTTATAATAATTCTTTGCAGAAAATAAATTTATAAATATAATAAAATTTATATTTAAAAGTCAAAATCTTAAAAAAAATATATTTATCTCTAACAAATTCTCTATTTTAAAGATTATATGAATTATATTATTAAAATATATAATATTTTTTATTAAAATATTATTTTATATTTAATTTTAAAGATTCTTATTTATAGAAAATAATAAAAAATAATTTCTCTTTCATGATTGGTTAATTAATTGAAGGGTAAATCATATTGAAGTAAAATAGTTTTTATTTTTAAAAATCTACTTTGAAATCTAAAATTTGAATAATTTATTATGTTTTTAATATAATCTATATACTATATTATAAAGCATTTGAAAGAGACTCTTAAAAACCATTCTTTATGTATGAAATACTGTTTATTAATACGTATTACTTAAAATTCAAGATTACAAATAATTATGCGTAAGTACAACTTATTAAAACTTCATATTTGAACTCGTGTAACTAAAGATAAACATAATCTAGAGAATAAACACCTTATTTTAAATAAGATAATTATTGAGTTCTAATAAAATACTTAATTATTAACTTTATAAAAAAAAAGCATATTATTAAACCAAAAATGAATTAAAAAAATGCACAAAAAAAGAAAAAAAAATTAAATAATTAATTTGATATTAATATCATTTTTTTTAATTCTTTATAGTATCTTCATTTTAATATCTGGTTCAAAAAATAAAAACATTATCATTTTTTCAAAACCACATAAAATTATATTATAACATCGACTGAGACAAAAAAAAACACGAAACCTTAAAAATCGAGATATATCTCGCTATATTGTGCGGGTACCCTTCTAATTTAAAATAACATATGAAGTTTTTTTTTTTTTTTAGATTTATTGTTTGAAATGATTCATTTGTAGACATAAGAATTAAGGGTTGTTTTGTTTACTCCTTAATAGTTTCATTAAAAGGTGAATCTTGTTTTAAAAAAAATCTATCTGTTAATGATTCTAAAACCCTCTGAATGATGTTGTACTCTGGACTTATCTTAACCATTCAGCGCCCTAATTTAGTTATAAAAAATACCAAACAATTATATTTCATTATGTATTGTATCATGATGGCCTCTTAATCATTTACACCAAACCATTCAACAACCGTCAAACAACCACTTAAATTTTTAAAGATTAAAATCGAATTTACATATTTCAATGCATTTAATCATAGAAAAACTAATAGCTTTATTGTTAATCAACCATCATAAGTCTTAAACAAGTTTTAATGATTTTTTGGGAACTAGAAGCATAATTACTACAAATTTAATTATTTAATAAAATAAATAAATAAATAAATATTTAATATTCTTTAAAATAGAGAAAATTGAGTTTTTGTTCTTTATATTGCTACAACAGATTCCATATCTTGTTCTTTAAAATACAGAAACCTAAAAAAATTATAATACAGAGAATTTCTAGAGCTTTCTAACGACGAGATAGAAGTGTTATTTTAAAATTTCCCACCAATGAGAAATAAAAATCCTTTTATAGCCACAGAGGTTTCAATACGGTGACTCTGAGCTACCCGCAAAATAAGTGGTCGCTTTGTGATTAAAGGCTCGCATAATGGGTTAGATATCTCGATTAATCAAAAAAAAATTGTTGAAGATACTCTAACAAATGCATCTAGTAAGGGGCTGTTTGGCAATTACTGAATGGTTTGGTGCAAAATGATTAAGTGGTCAGAATGATTAAGAGGCTATCATGATATAGTGCAAAATGAAATATAATTGTTGGTAATTGTGTACAATGAAATCAGGGCTCTTAATGGTTAAGGGAGATCCAAGATACAAAATCATTCAGAAGGTTTTAGAACCATTAAGAGGCAGACTTTTTTTTGCCAAACAAGATTCACCTCTTAACGATTTAGAGGTTGCCTCTTAATGGAACTATTAAGAGGTAAACAAACAACCCCTAAGTGTTATTAAATACTATGGGACTAGAGGATTCGAACCTCCGAATAACGGAACAAAATTGTTTCAAGCATCAACAGAGCCAGAAGCGCCCCTTCTTTCAAAATAAGATGTAAGCCCTCGGTTCAAATCCGATAGGGGGCAATCTCGTTCCGCCTCCGAGGAATGTGAGACTTCTATTTAGTGATCTTGTAACGTTGTAGTATCTTTATTTTATTTTAAAAAAATATAAAAAATTAATTTTTATAAGTTATTTTATTATTTAGGGCAAATTGTATGAAAAAGTAACGAACTTTAACTTGATTTCTATTTTATGTAACGTATTTTCAAAACTTTCATTTTGGTACCTAAGATGTAAATATTTAAACATCTAAATACTCGGGTAACCGGTTGAAGCATTAACTGGTTACTATGTTGATATGACGAGTGATTGGATGAAATTGAGTTGAATAACAAATAATAATGAGTTGGATACCACATCACTCGCTATATCAATATGGTAACCGGTTAATGCTTCAACCGATTACCCGGTTACTTAAATGTTTAAAACTTTACATCTTAGGTACCAAAATGGATGTTTTGAAAATACGTTATTCAAAATAGAAATTAAGTTAAAGTACATTATTTTTTCATGCAATTTGTCTTATTATTTAAAAAGAATATATTCGACGTGGATGGTTCTATAACGTATTCCACTAACTTCAACTTGCATGTGAAATGGACGGTTCTTCTACGTATTTATTTTCTATCATTTTTTCTAAAATGAAAATAATAAATCCGATAAATATTTATTTAAAAATGCAATATTTTTTGCTATAAATTTCGTTTGTTATCTTTTTTAATATATAAATTAAGATTTAAAAGGTAAAAAAGAAAAGGCTAATGAAGATATTCATATGTGAATTTGTTGAAAATATTTATTTAAAGATTTATATCAATATATTTAAAGTTTTAAACTCATACAAATAATTTGTAATGTTGTTTATATAGATTTTTTGGATTTTTTTTAATAATTTACATATAAATATATTTTTCTTAGTTTCATTTCCTATCTTTTCATAATATGTAATCTATTTATTTGAACTACTTCTTATATATATACACTTTGAACTAATATGGTTGGGTTCACGTGAGACCAAGGGTTCGTAAGACCAATTTATTTTTATTGATCAACTTTATAAGCTAGTGATCTAATGGTCTAAAGTTGCATAGTGACAATTTTGTGATTATTAAGAAGTCTCGTGGCAATTTTGTGATTGTGAATGTTTAGATTGTAGATCTAATTCAAGGGTTGAGAATTGGTCTTACGGGTTTCACGAAAGACCTTTGGTCTCACATGATCCCAAGTCTATATAGGGTTGGTTTCACATGAGACCAAAGGTTTTTCGTGAGACCCATAAGACCAATTTTTGTTCATTGATCAACTTTATAAGCTAATGATCTAGGTCTAAAGTCGCATGGTAGCAATTTTGTGATTATTGAAAAGTCTCGTGGCAATTTTGTGATCATGAATGTTCAAATTGTAGATCTAATTCAAGGGTTGAGAATTGGTCTTACGGGTCTCACGAAAGACCGTTATATATATATATATATATATATGTGTGTGTGTGTGTGTGTGTGTGTGGGGAAGTAATAATGATGAATTATTTGGTTTGAAAAATATGATTAGAGAGAAATTAAGTTAAAAAAAATAATTAAGAATAGGAAAGAGGGTTGACATTCTAGAAGGAAGTATACTTAGCATATGATCAAATCCCTGACGTGAATTGTGTGGGAAACAAGCATTTTGATTCTTCGACCAAACAGGGTTTGCCCACTTTTAAATATTCCATAATTTACCAATCATTTTTTTATTTACATAAACTTTATATTATATTATATATATATATATATATATATATATATATATATGGTTCAATAGAAAACTACAAGAAAAATGAAAAATTAAAAAAGTATTTTGGTAACCGTTTTATCTGGATGGTATCCAACTGTACATACAAATAAAATGTAAACAATTTGTCTTATATGCACATGTATATAACATGCAAACGTGAATAAAACTCAAGTAACATTTACATACCGTCCGGATGAACGCTAACAGGGTGTTCCTAAACGTGAATAGTC